CAGAGTGATACTTCTTGAAGAAAGGTAAGAAGAGTTAAGCATTGCCGGCAGCTTTTGAAACCTAGAACTTTCTGCCCATAGAAAATGAGAACCATACAAAGAACTGATGGAATAAAGGAGGCTGAAGGAAGATAAGTCATTGCCTGGTTTTGACGTAATTACTATAGAGGAAACAGAGGTTTACTTTAAATGATGTGGTAAGTTGTATACACAATGGGAAGTAAAATAAAGCTGTCTCAGAGTTCAAATTATATAGGACATAGGTTTTCCAAAAGTCAGATGGGGTCGGCACAAAATCATGGAGAAAGAGGCTGTCAGTCCTAAGAACACAGTTCCTGATGAAGATTCAGTTTTGAGTAGTCAAAAGTGACTTGCAACTGACAGGGAAACTATGAAGAATGGCAATGGAGACAGGTCGGCTTGGGAAGGCACACGATAATGTTCCCAGTAGCAGGAGAAATTCAGCGAGTGCTAGAATTGTTTGGATTTATTAGGTCCTCTTGAATCTACAACGCTCTTATAATATGCAACTGGTACAAGTTTCCACATAATTTAAATGCTAACACTACAATGTAACATTAATTTTCATGAAGCAAACATGATTTCTCAACCTAATCCTCTCTTGGTACTAGCGTATTTTCAGGCTTGGGGGATTCAAAAATGCACTATGCCTAGACACATCGAAGGATTTCCTTTGTTTCATCAATATCATCTGTCTACAACTGGAATGAAGTACAGCATAAGAAAGTGCAAGTTAATGACGGATCAACTGAGGGACTAGATTTAGCAGTCCTGCAGCGAATACTGGCAGGGCCTTGGAACTCTCTGATGTCATCAACGGGTCACAAAACACTGCTGAGACCTCAGTCATAGCTGGTATCACAGCAACTGTGGTGCCACACTGAGCATTACAGAGCACAGTGATCTGGTGAACAGATAGTGCCATGTTATTTGTTGTTTGTGGGGATATAAATTTCATTCTTTAACATCATTAACGATTCTCTGAGAGAGACTCAGATAGAATCTCACTTGACATTAGTAATTCTCTAAAGAGTTCAGCTATGAAGCATAAAGAGAAGAAGAAACACGTGGAGAAGAAATGCTTACAACAGCCTGGGAAAAAGTCAAAATGTAAAAGAGGTATGAGTTAGCATATTCTTGGGGACTAGGGAACCAGGACTTGCCTTCCAAAGTGGGAAAACTGTCACCAGCTTGTTTACAGGGGCAGTGGAGAGAAAGATAAAAAGGAAAAGTGACTGAAAGTGTTAAGGAGAGAGACATATGCATCTTCCTAAAGGTTCATATAGTCTGGGAGTGAGGGAAGGCTCAGATGACCCAGGTCTTGTTGCTGTTCCTTAGGACTGGGTCTCTCTGTCATATATATAGTCAGATTAATGTTTTCTTTCATTCGACTTCTTCCCTAGGGCACTGGAAAGTGAAGGGAATTTAAGGTGTAACAGTAACTTTTGTATGTTGATGAAGAAACTGTGAACTGAATAAAATATTTCATAAAAATATAAATATGTATGTGTCAGGAATGACTATATTACAAAAATTGTTGACTCAGGAGTCAAAATATCTAATATTGTTTAGGATAATGAAAATGTGTCTGAGAACTTCTTTGTGAATTGTGAGAAATACATATGCACACAAGCATATGCACATACACTCACAATTTAACCATAAATTATGAATTAGAGAAGATTTGGCTCTGTGGCAAACCTGTAAACTGTTAGTTGTGTTATGTTGCATATTAGTAGTAAAAATACAACTCGTATGAGAAAAGACTCTTGATCAGTGGTGACAGGGACAGATTACAACCAAAACCAACACTCTCAAGAGTGAGTCACATTTCTGAGAACAGTTGCATCCTTCTGAAAGTTTTTCAGGTTTGTGTATTTTCTGATGGTGTTTTATAGAGAGGCCCAGAGAGTAAGTTTGTCTTTATTTCGCCTTCAATTAAATCAGCACATAGTTAGACATGTCAGTTGTAAACCAAAGCACATCCTCACACTTATTTATTGCCACAAAAAGTATAAAAAAATACAAAAACAGACCAAGGCAAAACAAATACTATTGCTTAACATAATTATACAATAACTTTGTATGAAGTCTAATTAGTTGCCTCTCTATAACAGTTTATAACCTGACTTCATCTAAAAGAGACTACATTCTTGTTACTACTGCACATAAATCTTTGGCTTGCTTATGTAGCACACAGTGGATGTGCAGGTCAACAGGACAACTAATTCATGAGCTGGAGTGATGAAAATAATGTTAACATTAACATTAAAATGTAGCTTTCAAAGAAACCCACACAGATTCATGTAACTTATCAATATCCCAGGCAGGTAGAAAAGGAAAGAGCAGGGAGACATACAGAGCTGTTTATAGCCACGGAAGAGGCATAAGTCACTTGTCATTTTACTTTGTAGAAAGTGTAATAACAAGAACAGACCTAACTACAGTGGTCTGTCCAAGCTGAAAGTTGGAAGCAAGCCGTCTCTCCACCAATGATACACTGTACAGATGTACTGATCTTTAATAAGTACTGACAGAATAAATGTTATTCTACATTTAGAATTTTACTAATAGGATCCATATTGCTTACTCTTGGGAATGGAGGTAGAGTCAATGAACATTTAAGTGGTGGACTCATGATTTGTTTAACATTGGATAAATACACATAAACACCAAAATAGAACTGTGTCTCATCTTTTCTTTCATTTCTCATTAAAACTGGATTTCCAAGCTGTTGTAAAGAGGAGGGCCAAGTTACTGGCCCAAACTCAAGACTGTGACATGGGGAATACTACTGCTTCTGCCTCGGCGGACTTTCCCTATGGAAGCAAATTCCTGGATGCAGGTATGGAGGTTCTATTGACCACGGTGCAGAAGGGAAGGTAGAGTCTAGACATATCCCAGAATTGAGATGAATGCTTCTGAATATCAGTTGATACAAGGCTGCTCAGTCAGGAAGAAACTGAAAATAATCAATGGTTAAATCAGCAAATGTTTAAGGGAAACACATGAGAGGGCAGCAAAAGAAGCCCCAGATCATCATAAGATTGGGTTCTGCTCAGGAAATGGTGGGTGAGTGTCTGAGCAGGAAAGAGACTCATTAGAGTTGCAGAGGAACAGCATGAGCCAGGGAATAGCACCATAAACAGGAAGGGACAAAGGCGCTAATGGCTTAAAAGAAGCCCAGCATAATAGAGACCTCAAAAGATATGATTGGAGACACATTAAAGAGATACCCAATCCAAGAACACAGCACCTCCATGTATGTATTAGCCAACACTCTCACATGTATTCCTACATAGACTCATGTGCATTGCTACCTACTTCTCTCATTGTCCTATAATCTCCTCTTTGCACATGAATTTGATATTCTAACTTTTTTATACTAGTATGCAAATAGTAATAATTATTCTGACTTCCAAATGACCCTACATTCATCATCTTGGATTTTTTCTAAGTCTGTATAAATGCAAGTGCAAAATATATACTTTGTTCTGGTGTTTTGACTCATAGTTATGAATGTTATCCATGTGGCACATTATTATAGTGTGCATAGTATCATTACTTCGTAAATTGCATTTCATAAAGAGAAATAATTTATTCATTGATTATACTTTGCTGAGGACTGTCTATTATGGGGAGAGTAAGGGGATGTTTTGTTATCTTAATTCAATGTTGCTTGCTGAGTACATTTTACTTTATTAACTTATTTCTGTCTGAAGAAATTATAACAATTTGTACATTTCTGGGTTAACCAATTCAATTTAATCTTTTCTTTTGTTTTCTAGTGCAAACACACATACCCATATAAATCTTTTATAATCTTTACAATACCCTGAGATGTTTTATATATCTTTTCAAAGTTTAGTTTTTTTTTTTTTGTCTTTTTCTTTTTTATCGGTACTGGGGATTGAACTCACGACTGCCTGCTTGCCAGGCAGGCGCTTATGCAGCTGAGCTAAATCCCCAGCCCCAAAGTTGTTTATTTTTAAAACTCATGTTTATTCCTACATACTTTTATTTTTGCATCCCCATGATCTTTATTTCCTTATATTTCACAAATAAACTAATTTATGTAATTGCCAAGAGAGTATCTGCACTAAATACATCACACAGCTAAACAGCAGAGGTCATGCAACACATACACAAACACAAATACACCCTTAATAACATTCAGTTAGTGCACAGATATGCATCAATCTATCACAGAGACATAAACCACAGTGTCATTCTCACTCAAGCACTTAATCTGTGAGAGTCACATGTGTAACCATCACATAGCCACCTTGAACCCTAATTTTAAGCAGTATGCAGTTATATGACATGCAGGACACATGCTGCATTCAATACACACCACTTATAGCAATGTGTACATAAGATCCCAGGCTAGCATATTTGTGAGACATCTTGATAACATGAAACAGTTACTTGATGGAAGAAGAGCTTAGTTCATACAGTGAAGGGGAACAGGGACACCATAAGGTCATGAATATTTAAATTCTTCAAATATAAAATTTCTCAATGGTTGTGAATCTCTAGGAAGTAAGATACAGATAATGAAATCATGAACTGTGTAGAAGGCAAACGATATAAAACACATTCCCAAATTGACAGGAATATTGTGCCTTGAAGGCAGGATCCTTGTGGAGAGCCAAAGTGCAGCATTTCCTGCCCAGGCAAGACATCACTGTACAAGACACAAAAAGTATTCCCAGGAGAGGGAGCTGACAAGGTGGCTGGGGAGAAGTATGGCAGGAGGTGAGCTAATGGCATCAGTGATTCCAAAAATATATACATGATACCCAATCACAGTGATTCATGCTACATACACAGTTTTAAATACTATTATTTATTTTATTTTCTCAGTGGAATTACTGTGGATGGAAACGATGCCAGAAACATGTCTATTCTAGTGTGACAGAGAACCTAGACTGTGCTGTGTATCAGTATGTTTATTGTTGGTATTTATCTAACTCTCCAGAAATGGAACACTCTCCAGAGCATGCCTCGGAGACATCTGAGGTGGTTCCAAGCCCAAGTCTAGATGCAGGAGAGACTATCTCAGCCTCAGAACACTTGCCCTGCATTTCTTCTTCAAGCACGCACATTCCCGTGGACCAGGATGGTAAGGCAGACACAAAGGTGACCTCAGCGTGGACAACAGGTGCAGCTGAGCGGCCTCCCACCCTACTCACTTCACCTTTCCTTCACATCCAGGGCAGGGCCTCAGGGAAGAGGGATGAAGACTGACTCCTCTGGGGAGGGGGACAGATAGGAAATCTGCCTTGCAGAGGAGGCTAAGCTCCTCAGCACACATTTCCATGTGGACAGAGAGGCGGATGGGGGTGAGGTGGTGGCCCATGTGGAGATGTGCAGGGGTTGGGATCAGAGCCGCCTCCTCAGGCCAGTGCACACTCAGCTCACACTCACATTTCACACAGCTTTATAGAAAGTAGAGGCTGGTTTTCCTCCTTTTTCCCCTTCTGCTCACAACTGTCTCTTCCCTCCCCATTGTCCCAGCTCTCATCAGCATTACTAGGTATGGCCTTACACCTGCACTCTTACAGTCATTCTCAGACTCACCCCCTTACACTTTAGTCAGTAAAACAATAGCACATTACCCTACATGGATACCTGTTTTAACTCCATAATGCTATTGGTAGACAAAATACTAGAGATCTCTTGTGCCCTTACAGTATGTATTTTTCTCACCCCAACACCTTATGTTCTATCATAGCTTCAGTCTTTCCCAGAGCTCCATGTGCTGAGGATATAAAAACCCTCCCTCTAACATGTAAGGCTGCTGTTACAGCATCTGCCAACATTCACCACTCACACAGTGGATCACATTTGCTGTCATACATTATCACAAGTGCAGATACACACTCAGTCCTATCTGCATTTACCAGTACCAAAAACATTCACCAAATGTCTATCACAATATATATACACACATATACATGGGTATATTATACATATATATCTATATATATTTCTCTTGATGTCCCACACACCCATATCTTGTGTACAGGTACAATGAACATACATACAACACACATAGAATTCTGAGTATTGCAGATACTATGTGTGCCCCCACCTGAGGATATTCTCATCTTACTTTTGAAGCTTTCTTTTCTACACACCAAGACACTACCTCCATGTGTTCCAGGTCCTGGATCTTCCAATATGCCTCCAAACCATGATATGATGGAGACGGAAAATTCCTCCTTCATGCATTCTGATTTACCTTCCTCCTCAGCCAATAACCCCTCGATGTCTGCAGTAGGTACTGAAAAGGAAAGAATAATGAATGTTTACTACAAGGTTGTACCTGTGAAAAGGGGTGTGGCTGCTTTGGAGGATATAGAAGATTTGGAGCCTCCTGCAAAGATGATAAAAATAGGAAATGTTGTCTGTCAGGAGACGGTCCCTCCAAAAATCAGCTTCCCTCCTATGAGTCTAGCAAGTATCCTAAGTCTCGGTGAGGGCAGCTTGGATGGTGAACGGCAAGGAGAAAGGGAAGAGGCTGAGAAGCCACCTGAGAATCTGGACCTGGAGGCGGGTCCCAGTGCCATGGCACCTGCAGAGCTGGAGCACATGTATAGTGGCTTTAGGTGCATGGGCTGCCTCCAGGTCTTCCCTAATTTGCAGATGCTCAAGAAGCACCTGGAGGAGGGCATAGAGGAGGGTGGTTCATGCATTAATCTTGTCCTTTCCAAAATGAGGAACAAAATGAATAACAGCAAGATCACAAGCAAGGAGACAAATATCACAGAAGCATGTGGAAATGATATGGAGATATTTTTGAAGTTCTTGGAATTTTTGATTCTTTGTTGCTTTTTGTATTATTATTATAATAAATAGTTACTAAATCATTCTTCCATGTCTGTCAATAACAAATGAGACACTAAGTGAAGAGGACACAAGAACCTTTTCATCCATAGACTAGCATAAAGAATCGGCACCTTCATAGCCTAAGCGTTTGGTTATTTGTTTTTCCCCTCTCTCTGTTCTCTCATCCCCTTCATTCTGCTGCTTCCAGATTGGGACTCAATGGTCCTTTTTTCTTATTATTTATTTTTATTAGTACAGTTGGTTGTATACAAAGTTTCCATTCCTCATTCTGAATTGGTACACTGCACATACATCTTTTTTTTTTTTTTATCCCATTGCCTACCTTCCCTCAGTGCACTCTCCATCTTTTGAGGAGGTCTTTCACTGTTGGGAAAGAGCTACCTCTCTATGTAGATCTACTTTTATTTTATTCTTTATTTATTCTTTTGGTTTCTCATAAAAAAGATTAATTAGTATTTAAGTGTGTGTGTCATTTATTTCACTTAACATTATGGTCTCAGTTTTTTTTGTTTTTTTGAGATACTGTTTCACTATGTAGTTTAGGCTGGCCTTCAACCCCAGCAATTTTCCTGCCTCAGCCTCTTGAGTGCTGGGATTATATGCACGCGCCACTATGCCCAGCATGGTATACTCATTACTATACAAATCACTCTATTTTATGAAGAGCAGTACTCTGTTGTTTTAAAAATTCATTTTATTTTTCTCACGCTAAAATACTAATTTATTTTAAAAATTGTAAGTTTATGCACAGTTTAGGTGTGCACAGTGATCACATCCATTATACAGAATTTGTACACTCAGGTTGATCCCCATTTCCCCCTTTCCCAACTCCTCCTGTTCTCTTCACAAACCTGTGTTTTCATTTCTTTTTTCTGATTTTTTATTTCCCTTCCTTATTTTCCCTCTTCATCCTCCTTAGTGCCTTTTTCCTTTTGAAAAGTTTGTTCCTATCTTACAATATCTATTGTACATAAAATTTGTTTTTCACACTAAAGTGATAATGGGATATTTATACATGCAAGTCTGATTTATTTCACTTGATTTGTTTTCCTTATGACTGATCTCAAGGACTGTCCATTTAGCTATAAATGTCTCAGTTTTGTCCTTTATGGCTGAGCAATACTCAATTATGTTACAAATACCATATCTTTTTATCTTTTCATGGGTTGATGGGCATTTGTGCTGCTTCCAAGATTTAGCTATTATAAACTGAGCTGCTATGAACACAAGTGTGTATATGTCTGTTATATGATGCTTTCAATTCTTCCATCAAGATTCCCAGAAGGGGAACTCCTGGGTCACATAGGACCTCTAATCCTAGTTTTTTGAGGAATCTCACACTGACTACAAGTGATTACATTAGTATACATTCCACCAACAGTGGAAAAGAGTTCCTTTCTCCCCACAACCCAGCCAGTATTTATTAGCTTTTTTTTTCTTGGTAATAGCCATTTTTTTGGAGTGACATGGAATATCAGTGTTGTTTTAATTTTTATTACTGGAATTATCAATGATGATGATCATTTTTTCATAAATTTATTTGCCCTTTGTACTTTTTCTGAAATGTGTGTATTCATCTTAGATGCCCATTTTTGGATTGGGCCTTTGAATTTTGAGGGTCTGATGTTTTTTTAAATTTTATTTGAAGAGTAAAAAAGGAAAATAGAAAACAAGATAGAAATAATACAGAATTTCAAAAAATATTGAGAAATCACCAGTTGGTAAATTATATATTGTCACCTTAGAAATAGTTGTTCAAGTTACAAAGTTAAAACATAAAAAATGGACATTCAAACTGAGAGTGCAAACAGTTTTGTTCAACGATCCAACAAAACCTTAGTAATATGGTTATCCTACACACTTAAACATACATATAGTTATATCTTTCAGAGCACCTCCTTTCCCTCTTTTTTATAATAGCAATTACACATTTTGGGTTTTATTACCTCTATAGTTCTTATCACTTTTTATACTAGAGAGACAATGTGATATTTATAAATATCTTATTCACTTAAGAGGATAGTCTCAAGTTGCCTCCATCTACCTATAAAGGCCTCAAGATAATCCTTTCTTGTAGCTGAGCAATAGTTCATTAACTAAAAATACCATATCTTTTTCATCTGCTCTGCAGTTGATGGGCATTTTGGTTGTTTCCAAGATTTAGCTACTACAAATTGTGCTGCTGTGAACATGGCTGCGCATATGTCATTGTGACATGAACTTTTCAGTTTTTCTGGGAAAATACCCAGGAAGGGAATAGCTGGATTGAATGGAACTTCCAATCCTAGTTTTCTGAGAAATTTCCATAGTGGAAGTACCAATCTACACTCCCACCAACAGTGGAGCAGTGTTCCTTTTTCCCTGCAGCCTTGCCAACATTTGTTATCAATTGATTTCTTAATGGCAGCTATTTTTTCTGAAGTGAGATGAAATCTCAATTCTGTTTTGCTTTCCATTTCTCGAAGACCAGTGATGGTGAACATTTCTTCATGTATTTATTTGCTATGTGCATAGCTTCATCTGAGAACTATATGTTCATCTCAGATGCCCATTTTTGGAGAGGGTCTTTGAATTTGAGGGGGTTGCTGTTTTTCAATTCTTTATTATGTTCTGGATATAAGTGATATAAGTTCTTTGTTTGAGGGGTTGCTGGCTAAAATTCTTTCCCATTCTGTGGGTTTTCTTTTAATTCTGTTGGTGATTTGAAGTGAAAAAACTTTTCAATAATACAAGATTCCAGTTGTTGATTCTTTAAAGTATTTCCCACGCAGTTTGCATTTTTTTCATGAATTCTCTGCCTACCCCTATGTCTCCAAGACTTCTACCTACCTTATCATTTAGCATTTCTGTTTTAATATTTAGATCTTTGATACATTTTTACTTTAGTGCATGGTGATAGACATGGGTCTCGATTCAGTCTTTGACATGTGGAGAGCAAATTTTTCCGAAATCATTTATTAAAGAGGTTATCCTTCTTCCAGTGAACATGTTTAGCCCCTTTGTCAAATATCAGGTGGCTGAGTGTCTTTGTAGTTGTGTTTGCATCTTCTAATCTGTTTCATTGATCCTCAGGTCTATTTCTTTGCCAGTACCATGCTGATTTTATCACTGTGGCTTTGTAGTATAGTTTAAAGTCAGGAATTGAGATGCCATAATTTCTCTCAGTGTTCTGTTTGTGTACAGGAATGCTATTGATTTTTGAGCATTGACTTTGTATCCAGCTACACTGCTGAATTTATTTCCTCTACTAGTCTTTTAATAGTGTTCTTTGGGTCTTCTGTATAGAGTACCACATCATCTGCAAATAGTGACAGTTTAACTTTTTCCTTTCCTATCTTTATTCTTTGTATTTCTCTCTCTCTCTCTCTCTCTCTCTCTCTCTCTCTCTCTCTCTCTCTCTCTCTCTGTCTCTGTCTCTCTCTCTATCTTTCTCTCATCTCTCTCTCTTGTCTGATTGCCCTGGCTAGTATTTCCAGAACTATATTGAATAGGAGTGGTGATAGTGGACATCCTTGTCTTGTTCCTGATTTTAGAGTGAAAGCTTTCAGTTTTTGTCCATTTAGTTTAATGTTGGCTGTTGGTTTGTCATAGATGGCCTTTATGAGATTGAAGTAGACACTGTGTATTCCAAATTTCTGAAGGGTTTTTATCATGAACATGTTTTGGACTTTATCAAAAGCTTTTTCTACATCTATTGAGATGACCATGTGGTTTTTGTTTTGGGCTCTGTTGATGTGGTATATTATATTTATTGATTTGCATATGTTAAACCATCCCTGCATTCCTGGAATAAATTACACTTGGTCGTGATATATAATCTTCTTGATGATTTGCCACATTCTGTTTGCCAGTATTTTATTAAGGATCTTTGCATCAGTGTTCTTTAGTGAGATTGGCCTACTGTTCTCCTTTTTGGTTGGGTCTTTCTCTGGTTTTGCTATCAGAGTAAGGAATGCCTCAAGGAATGATTTAGGGAGGATTGTTTCCTTTTTAATTTCATTGAATAGTTTAAGGAGTATTGGCATCAAATTGTCGCTAAATTTCTTGTAGAATTCAGCCGTGAATCCATCAGGACCAGGGCTTTTCTTTGTTGGTAAGTTTTTAATTACATTTTCAATTTCAATAGCTGATATTGGGTTATACAAAATTGCCATATCTCCTTGGTTGAACTTTGGTAGTTCATATGTTTCTAGAAATCTGTCCATTTCCTCTGTGTTTTCCACTCTATGTGAATAGAGATTTTCAAAGTAGGTATTTATGATCTTTTGAACACGCATGGGATCTGTAGTAATTTCCCTCTTTTCAGTCCTTATTGTGTGGATTTGTTTTTTTTTCTTTTTCTTGATGAGATTAGCTAAAGGTTTGTCAATTTTGTTTATTCTCTCAAAAAAATGGCTTTTTGATTCATTCTTTGTATCATTTTTAAATTTTCAATTGCATTAATTTCTGCTCTGATCTTTACAATTTCTTCTCTTCTAGAATCCTTGGGTTTGACTTGCTCTTCTTTTTCTAGAAGCTTGAGATGAAGCATTAGGTTATTTGTGCTCATTCTGTTTTTGTGATACGACAACTTATTGCTATATATTTCCCTCTTAAGGCCACTTTCATTGCATCCCACAGTTTATAGTATGTTGTTTCTGCATTTTCATTGAATTTTAGGTGTTGTTTTATTTCTTCTTAATTTCATCTGTAGCCCACTGGTTGTTCAGAAGGTTGTTATTTAATTTCCATGTATTTATGCAGGTTTTGCAATTTCTTTTGCCATTAAATTCCAATTTCAGTGCACTATGGTCAGACATTATGCATGGGATAATTTCAATCTCTTTGCATTTACTAAAGAATGTTTTATGGGATAGAGAGGCTACCCAAGACCCAGCCATGGTGGGACTTAGGTGGCTGCATAGGAAGGCAATTTGCCCACCCTCTTGGTAAGCATCCCTGGCACTGGTTGGGAGGAGAACCAGAACCAGCAGCTACCCAAGACCTAGCCATGTTGGGACTTAGGCAGT